CTTTTATCATGTATCAATTGGAATGTTGGACTAGTAATATCTGAGACTTTATAAGCTCAGAAATACTGTGTTCCATGAGGCACACATCTAAAAATCCTACATTTCTTGGATCTGGAGGCTAACAAGTCTGCTTATAAGTGAGATTATTCTTATATTAATTTTAATAGTGAACACTGGAACAATGACATTAACAAGCATAATAGTTATGAAATATATTGGTATTTTTAATACACATCTTAAATGAGAAGAGCCTTCATATTTGCTAAATAAGATAGGCATACAGGATTTGGAGACTGGGCTTATATTGATCCCCAACCATTTTGGGAAGTTATACTAAAAATGTTATTCTAAAACATTGCCATTACTCTTTTTTTCTGTTGACTGATATTATTCTTACTTTTTTCTTAATTCTCATGATTTTTTTTTTCTTGAAAAAAAAACACTAGGTTATTTAAATTGAGTTTTCCACTTGGGAAGTCAAAGGATCATAAGTAACCACTTGTCTCTAGTTTGTGCAAAGAGCTATATAAGGATGTAGATGAAATGTATGATTCTCAAGGAAAATATAAATTGCAAAACTGACTATAGAGGAGAGAAAAATCTAAACAGGTCAGTAGCAATGAAATAAATAAATAAGGTAACCACAGAATTGCCCACCATGGTAGCACCAGGCCTGGACTGCTTTTTGTGAGGAATTCTGCCCAGCTTTAAGGAATGGGTAAATCCAATGTTATTTAAAATACTAAATATCAAAGAAAAAGGTAGGAAAACTTCCCATGAGAATTAAGGAAAGGGCTGCAATCTTTGTTCATCAAGATGAACCTCAGAGAAGACAGCAAGGATGAAAGACAGCAGTGAGTTATCAAATAAAACCTTGAACTTGGGACCATGGTTTTTATTTGTATGCATTGTTGATTCACAAAGAGTTAAAACAGGAAAGAAAATTAAGTCAATCTAGGTAGGTAGGTAGAAGGCATGGTTATTCTTTTTTTTCTTTTAATTGTTCATTTTTTTAATTCATTTTATTATCATTAATCTACAATTACATGAAGAACATTATGGTTACTAGACTCCCCCCTTCACCAAGTCTCCCCCCCAACAAACCCCATTACAGTCACTGTCCATCAGCGTAGTAAGATGCTGTAGACTCACTACTTGTCTTCTTTGTGTTGTACATCCCTCACTATGCCCCCTCCACATTATACATGCTAATAGGAAGGCCCCCTTTCTTTTTCTCTGCCCTTATCTCTCCCTTCCCACCCCTCCTGCCCAGTCCCTTTCCCTTTGGTAACCCTTAGTCCATACTTGGGTTCTGTGATTCTCCTGCTGTTTTGTTCCTTCAGTTTTTCATTGTTCTTATACTCCACATATGAGCGAAATCATTTGGTACTTGTCTTTCTCTGCCTGGCTTATTTCACTGAGCATAATACCCTCTTGCTCTATCTATGTTGTTGCAAATGGTAGGATTTGTTTTATTCTTATGGCTGGATAATATTCCANATACTGCTTTCCACAATGGTTGAACTAATTTACATTCCTACCAGCAGTGTAGGAGGGTTCCCCTTTCTCCACAACCTCGCCAACATTTGTTGTTGTTTGTCTTTTGGATGATAGCCATCCTTACTGGTGTGAGGTGATATCTCATTGTGGTTTTAATTTGCATTTCTCTGATGACAAGTGATGTGGAGCACCTTTTCATGTGTCTGTTGGCCATCTGAATTTCTTCTTTGGAGAACTGTCTGTTCAGCTCCTCTGCCCATTTTTTAATTGGATTATTTCCTTTTTGTTTGTTGAGGTGTGAGTTCTTTATATATTTTGGATGTCAACCCTTTATTGGATCTGTCATTTATGAATATATTTTCCCATATTGTAGGGTACCTTTTTGTCCTATTGATGGTGTCCTTTGCTGTACAGAAGCTTTTCAGCTTGATATAGTCCCACTTGTTCATTTTTGTCTTTGTTTCCCTTGCCTGGGGAGATATGTTCATGAAGAAGTCACTCATGTTTATGTCTGAGAGATTTTTACCTATGTTTTTTTCTAAGAGTTTTATGGTTTCATGACTTACATTCAAGTCTTTGATCCATTTCGAATTTACTTTTGTGTATGGGGTTAGACAGTGATCCAGTTTCATTCTCTTACATGTAGCTGTCCAGTTTTGCCAACACCAGCTGTTGAAGAGGCTGTCATTTCCTTATTGTATGTCCATGGCTCCTTTATTGAATATTAATTGACCATATATCTTTGGGTTAATATCTGGGGTCTCTATTCTGTTCCACTGGTCTGTGGCTCTGTTCTTGTGCCAGTACCAAACTGTCTTGATTATTGTGGCTTTGTAGTAGAGAAGGTATGGTTATTCTTAAAAATGCCCTTGTATTTTATTCAGATACCCTGTTGAGCATTAAATAGGTACAAAGCATATGTTTATAGTGAGAATGGGACAGTGGATAAGGCTTAAAATGAAAATAAAACATTTCCTGTCCTCAGAGTGAAGCTTCAGGCCCACATGCTGTAAGATGAGAGTGAACAAAGAATGAGGCAGAAGGGAAGTAGTGTGAGCTGATGACTGAGCCATAACCTATAGGTTCTAGATTGCAACCCTGACCAACCAAATGGTCAACTGAATTTTAATCCATACACAATGGTCTGTATAATGATCTTAAGGTAAGGAATCTTTCAAGTTCTAGGAGCCAGAAAAGGGACATAATGAAAGGCCACGAAATCAGGCAGATGTATGGGGCTGACCTTAAAATCTCCCAATGGTATGATCGGTGACAGATACTTCTCCTAGGGCCTAGGCCAGGTGAGCACGACCACCTGTTCAACAGTGCTACTTCCTACTCTTACACTTTCATTTCCTCTGACCTTTGCTAAGTTGTTCCCTCCTCCTTTCTTAGGAAATACAGGATGAAAGAAACAATGTGAAGGTTGAAACAGTGAGGTAAGGCAGTGAGAGTTAAGTAAATAAGGGAAAAGAGTCACAATATATAACCCAGTATTTCAGATGTGTGGAGTAACCTCTTTACTGTTAAGAAAACCAAACATAATATCCCTGGTGAAGACACAGGCTTCTAAAATCTATCCTTTGGGTACAATTACTATTGGATTAACTCCATACTGAGAGGGAGGGAGGGTGGAAAAGAGGAAGGAGAGAGAGAAAGCACGTAGTTGTACTTTGAAGTTCTCCATAGTAAGATATCACCTGATATTGTATGTCCAGATTTGGGGGTTTTAGTTTTTTAATTTTAACATTTAGTAAGTCATGAAATTTAAATTGTAGATACTGTGTTAGTAATTTTGGTGCACTGAACAGGAATGCAGCATCTGCCTTTTAAAGGGGTTTAGCTTATTCATTGGGATTGCTTGGTGACCTTTGAAATTTTGTTTTGAGCTGCTGTCAGAAACATAATCATGTTTCTTTCTGAAACAGTTTTTAACATCTGCAAAGGTTGATCAAGCTAGGATAGTTTTAATAAAATACTTATCTCTCTTTTTTAATGTCAGCCCAGCTTTTTAAAACTGTTCTTCAGCTATCTGAAACATCAGCTCAAGGTGCTTGAGTTCATTTTAATAAGTGCCTTTCCATTAAACATTCCTGTTGTGGCTAGAGTGCACTCAGAGGTTAGAAATTTTCTCAGTCTTGTTCATCTGCAGTCCCATTTTCTAATTCTCTTGTTTTTAAAGTCAGATTACTTTAATTTGTATTCCCTTATCTCAAGAGTTAACTTAAAATTTTTTATATTTCATGGAGGGGAGATTGTTTTGATCTCTGGCATTGATCTTTCAAAATCTGGATACTTAAAAGGTATCAACTTTTAACAAAATTTAACTTAAATATCTATTCTATGTCTTGTCATTAAAAGGTTATTTACATTTAAAATGCTGACCTTTCAAAATGTACACAAGAGTGTTCTAAAACAGAGTTTTTGAACATTGGCCATGAAACCACTGTCTTGGGCTGACAAATGGATTGGAAATAAGCTACCCAACACCGGGAATGGACCATTAATTTTAATCAAAGGTGATGCAGGAAAGCGAATGGGATGCATGACAATGTCAACAGCCCAGTAGGTGTTAAGGGACCACACAGCCTTCCTTGTTACTTCGTTGGGCCATTAGTTGAGGTTGGGTGAAGACAGAAAGCCATGTCTGGAATTGAATGACCAGGTCACTCCAAAATCTAATAGAGAACTCCTCATTTCAGAAATCACATTGTAGTGCCATTACAAGTCAAGGACAGCATTTAGAAAATACTGGAGGATTTTTTTTTTTTTAACCAAGCACCTTTTAGTTTTTTCCAACTTTGTCAAACTGTTTGCCTGCCTTCTTTTCTTCTGAATGGATCATTGATATTTACAGAGGATCAAGAAATCGAACACACTTCGAGAAAAATCTCAAAGCCTGTTTGCTCTTCAGAATTACATATTGTTAGTTGTAAAACTGGTGAATACCAGAAACAATAGCATACCAAAGGAATTAAGCAGGGTAATTAATTCTCTGTAGTGATCTCATTGTCCTTGACCCTTTCTTGTGTTCTTATGTGTAGAAATAGTTTCACTAATTGAAACTAAACTTTCTTAATTGCTTTAATGAAAGCATTTGTTTTATAATTGTCAAGGCCACTGTGCTTGTGCCTTACTGTAAATTGTCAGTATTGGCTGATAACAGTGATATTCATGGTGGTGAAAGCCTTTTCTCTAAATCAGTCAGTATATTTCATTATTTTGAGTATTTTCAATTATAAAAAAATGGAACATATGACAGCCTGAATTCATGATGTTTATAATAAAGACATAAAAATGCAGAAGGGACAAAGAGACATTTCATATCTGCTTTAGGTTTCTTAAGAAAGTTCATTTATTCTGCACAGTATTGCATACACAAGAAAGATACGTATGATCGCATTAGTACTTTTATACATACTTAAGAAAGAAAAAGCAATTATATTGCTGTCTTGTTAATGGAATACTGTTATAAGTGATAGTATTTGTGCTTCCTGTAGATGAAGATCAGCTCCGTGCAAAGGGTTATGACAAAACACCAGACTTTATTTTACAAGTACCAGTTGGTAAGTCCTTAAACTTTCTTATGCATTTGTTTATCAAGAAAAAGATGTGTTTTTTCCATAGGTTTTTTTTTGTTAATATTAGCAAATGTTACCAGAGTAGATTAGCTTTATAATGTTGTATCTCAGTGGTTGAAATCAATGTAAATTATTTTAAAACACCAGAAAATAGAAGGTTCTGTAGAAATCTGTGCCTTAAAAATCTTTTGTGTGTCTTTGAGAAATAAGCATGCCTTCTGAAGACATTTGGTGGCCATTTTCAAGTCATTTCTTTAAATACTGAATTTTTGAAACATGGTTCTGTGGAGAAGCAAGCTCACTTAGGTTTGCTCTCACATTGTCAACCTCCACATGCAGTCTCAGAATAAGAGAGGGACTTTTGAAGATGATGATGAAAATAAAAGGAATGTGATTAAAGCATAAATATTCCTTGGAATGAATGTGTGGAATGTGTTGTTTCATATTTATATCCATAGATGACGGTGGGGATTAAGCTTCTGCTCATGAACGTGAAGCATTGCGAGGCCTAGACAGAGTTCAGGATTTTCAGTCTCCCCATTCCTTGGCTCTGTGTTAGTAATGCTTTGTCCCTTAGCTGTAGAAGGGCACATAATTCACTGGATCGAAAGCAAAGCCTCATTTGGTGATGAATGTAGCCACCATGCCTACCTGCATGACCAGTTCTGGAGCTACTGGAATAGGTAAGGTCTCATTATTTTTCTCTTAAGATAAACGATACTCAGCTAAAACCTCATTAGAAAAATATATTTTGTTTAGCTGGTAAAAATGCCAGTAGCCTTTGTTTCTAGTAAACAGAGACTTGATTAATGTATTAATTTCAGATAACTTAAACTTCTCTGCTTTCATTATATTGCTTCATTTTTTAAAACTAAAAGTCTCTGCATAAGGTCAAAATTAGTATATGCTCCATTACAGTGGTAATACTGGTGTCACTTAAAATAAGAATAAGATGTGGTGCATATTATGACATTGACACTGACTTTTTATCCTTTTGATGTGAAATTTATGCTCACTGTTAGATCATCCAAAATATTTTATCCTCAGCTCTCTGAGAAAAGTATCCAAATGGTATGAAAGATCAAAATGATTTACCTTCCAACCTTAAAAAATAGTTTACTTACCAACTCCAATCAGCATTCCAGAAGGCATGGAAATCTCAATGTTTAAGAGAAGGGTGGTGTTGGAGGAGTGGGGATGTTATGTTATTAAGTTCCCACCATGTGCCTGGGCCTGCAGGTTGTCTCATTCATCCTCACAAGGAAGACACTTTAATCCCCATTTTACAGGTAACTAAACTGATACCCAAAGAAAGAAAATAATGTGCCATGCAGCTAGTCACCATGCATTTGTCTCTCTCCCAAACTGGGATTATCCCCAAGACAACTCTGTGGTCAGTTATAGTACTGCTATTCCAACTTCAGCTTTTTTCACACCACACATTTTTCCCCTCAGTGTGGGAGATAGGTCAGAGGTGACCTTCCGGGATTAACTGTGTTGCTCAGTCACTGGCCAACAGTAAGAATACAACAATAAGATGACACTGGGACAGATCATTAAGGAATGACATGGTAACATCTGTGGACAGTAGTCTTAACCTGGAAAAAAAACAATGACAAGCTACAGAATTTTGCATTATATTTTTACCCAGCTTTACAAAAGGCCAGCAGAACTCACCCGTAGCAGCTGTGCTAAACTAAGCTCACTTTTTGCCATGGTAACAATGATCATGACAAAATGCTGAATGTAATGGCTTTCTTGATTTTCTTGTGTAATTGTGCGTAGCATCCGAGCTTTACTTTACAGGGATGGAGGAGGAAAGTGCAAAATGTTTTAGAAATCAATGCTGCTTCAGCGTTTCCTGTCTTTTATTTGGCCATTATTCAAATTAGCAGTAATGTGGCCAATTGAATTTTAGATTTTTAGCAATTTTATGATGAGTTTGAAATAGTAAAGAAAGCATCATTTTTGATAGTATAGGGAAAGCCATGACAAGAAAATCAAATTGCTTGTAAGTTTAGGTTGCTAAAGGATTCTTAGAAACCGATAAAATCATTATGCACTGAGACTGTCTTCCCATTGTAATATAGGTCAAGTCTTTTACAAGGAACAATTACAAATTAAATCCCAAATAGTAGAGCTTACTTAAGAATTCCAAAATTTGCTTACTTAAAAATTCCACGAGCATATTCATTCTAAAACAACTCTGCTGTTTATTGAGTGTCTACTATGTGCCTATCACTCATTATTTTTAGAGGATGATTGAGTAATCTATCACCTGTGTGGTAGACCTACAGGTCATTGATATGGCTGTGGGCAGGTCTGAGTGATGAATCATTTAATAGTTTCCTTTGGACTGGATGTTAGATTATTTTGTTGCATGTTACTTTCTCTATTCTAATGATAGTGTACTTGCACTACTATTGGTTTACATTTCCCAGGCTTGTTCTGTAAATATATATAGGCTAAGGGGACATAATTCTCTGAGAACATGTCATGTGATAGGAGAAAATGTCAGCCTTGGTTTTGAATGTTCCAGATCATCCAAGCAGGAAATACTCTACACAGAACTCACTGGTGTTACCAAATGTCCACAGAGAGGCCAAGAAATACAAGTAGTGCTGCCTTTTAAAATGGACATAGAGGCATTTACTAGGATATGAAATTTTGGTTATAATGGTGATACAAACTTACCAGTGATGGGCATTTTGATAGAAAGAGAACTTATCCCATTTATGAATACATGGGTCCTACTCTTTTCATATTTTGCCTCAATACAACTCATATAGCATTTGCTAAAATCCTTCACAGTTGGAAGAAATCATCTCCAACCTGTAGGAGTCTATTCTGCTGGTTTACATTTGGACTAATTGCTTTATTTGTGTGATAAGCCTCTAATTAACATAAAAACATTATCTAATTTGTCACTCTATTTTTAGATTAAACATTGGATTTTACAAGTCTGTTCAGTTAATATCTGTAGAATCATAACCTTATATAGATCCATTTCCCCATACAAAACCTTTAATTTTTAGTTTAATACATCTGTAAGAGTTTTCTCTTTATATAAATTAATATTCGTACTCAGCCTTTCAGCAACTTTTGACAAAGATAACCACCACACTATCCCTCTTTACTAAAATGTCTTTTCTTGGCTTCCAAGAGACGTCTTCTGGGTTTCTTCCTGTCATATCAGTGGCATACCCAGATCTTTGCTGGCTTTTCTTCTTCTTCCCAGCACTAGGATAGAGGGCCCTGAGCTCAGCGCTCTCCCTGCTCCACTTTTCTATCTGCATTCAGCTGCTCGTTATTCCACTAGAAATGTCATCCAAGGCTTCAGCTTTATATCCTAATTTTTACCCCCAGCCCTAATAGTTCCCAGGTACAAATTTGTTTCTCTATCCAGCTGTCCACTTGGCTATCTAAGGTATCTCAAGTGTAATATGTCCAAAATTAAACCCTTGATTTTCTACCCCAAGCTTTTTAGTACCCCATTTCCTCCCAAGCTCAACTAATGGCACTACAATTTGCCCAAATACTCCTGCCAAAAACCTAAGTGTTGTCACTAACCCATCAGCAAATCCTTTCAGCTCGATCTTCCTTACATCTCAGAACGTGCCACCTCTCACCACCTTACCTGCTGTCACCTCGTGTCTGTCATCATCCCTTGGACTACTGCTGAAGCTTGCACACTGTTGTCCTTAACGTCATCTCCTGCACTCCTGCAGGCAGTTTTTCATACCCCAGCCAGAGGGATTCTTGGAAAATACAAATTAGATTGTGTTACTTTCCCTACTCAAAAGTCTTCCTTGGCTTCCCATCACATTTAAAATAAAACTCAGACTCTTTACAATGACTTTCAGAGTGCTGCATGGTCTGCCTTTCCTCCACCCCAACTCTCTCCTCACCTCCCTCTCTCCCTTCACTCTTACACTGTTCCCTCCCGCTCTTACACTTCTAAAGCCACACTGGCTTTCTTGGCCTCCCTTGAAACCACACTGCTGGTTTCTGCTTCAAGAACTTTCCGCTGGCTAATTCTCTTGTTTGGAATTTTCTTCACTAGGATCTCCACATGGCATACCCCTCACGACCCTTCAGGAGGTCTCTGCTCAAAGTTGCCCTCCTCAGGGGGACCTTCTGTGACAACACAGTCAAAAGGCTTTGCCCACAGTCACCCCTCTCTCTAACTCAGCTGTACTTTTCTTCATAAAACTTATCCCAGCAGAGTGAATGAATAGGCAGTAGCTGGAAACATTTATATAAATAACGATTTGCTTGTTTGAATACAACTCTTTAAAGAGCTTTACCTTTTATATTGCTATTTCTAATTACAATACATGGTGTGCCTCTTGATTCCTTTGTAATCAAGGCTCTAGTTTTCCCTGGCTTAATCTTTTAAAAAACCTAAGTTTTGCAATGCAGTCACTTACCCTAAAATGAGAGATACTGGGTGTAGAACATAAGCTCCCTTTCCTGCAAGTAGGCCCCAACCCCAGGTATGACCTTGATTGAATAGCTCCTCAAAAGTCAACTGTCTCTACTTCTGTGGAGTTAAAGGAAATAAAGAGTGCCTCTGAGAATGTAGCATTTAGACCATAATATAGCCCCAAATTATGAAGGGCTATATATATAATTGCATAGAAAATACATATTAACTATATATATGAATCTACATACTCCCTATACATAGGGCTGTAATATACAAATTGTGTAATACACAGATTTCCTTATGCAATCAACACCAAAAAAAAAAAGCCTTCTCATTCTACTTCTCCAGTTAAAAAGTGAGCTCTTTCTTTAAATATCCTTAATATTGATCACTTAAAGGGTGTCAGATGATCAGCTATGGAGGTACTTTTTTCTGATAATATTCCTTTCTCTTAATTAAAAAAAAAAAAAA